GATAGATAGATAGATAGATAGATAGATATGTAAACTTTTGGGAGTCTGTTCTGTCATTTCTGTTGCTATGGTAATTGTTTCATGTTTAATTAATTTGTTCAAACACATGTACAAATAAACAGAATGAGGTGTGTGTTTAAGGACATTAGTTGTGTTGTTTAACCTCAGAATTCACCAGCACAGTGTTCATGAATCACACACCAAACGTGGGTGTGTGAGTAAGTGTGTGTGTGTGTGTGTGTGTGTGTGATCCCTATGAGACACAGTGAGAGCAGTATAGACGGAGACGTGCAGAAGACTCTGTTCTAGGTGAGTAGAGATGAACAAGAGCAGAAGAGATTTCTCAGTGGTTGGCAACAGCGAAGGCGTGAGAATGAAAAAAGGAGAGACTTACTGGAATGGGGAGGAAAGCCAATGGCAACCAACCCACGCAACACCTACATCCCCCATCAGGCACACACACACACTCGCACGCGCGCGCGCACGAATACTTACAGAGAGACGTGCTTTAGTGTGCACTTCATCCTCACACTAAGATTACAAGTACGCAGATGTGAACGCATGACAAGCTTTACATCACTGTGGCAGAAACAAACCTCCACTTTAAGTGTTGTTCAGGTCAGTGTAGGCACGAAACGGAAGTTATATTAATCCATTCGAGTGACTTATCTCCGAGTGAATCGGCTTCACGAACAACGACAAATATGGGCGGGGCTTGATTTTATCTGTGGGGAATTTATTGGATGGTTGTGGTTTGCTATTGGTTGATCTCAAGTGAGTGACAGGTTGCCCCGCCCTCTTCATCAGAGAACAGATGTCAAAGATGTCAAGATGGAGGGGAATTTATTCTGATCCAAGATAATGAGGCACATGATTTAAAAACAATAATAATGAGCACAGATAAATCATTTATACTGCAGTATTCCATAAAAATAAAATAATTGCCAATTTTGATTGCCTAATATATATTCTATCGCTTTGTTGTGTGTTTTACTATCTATTCTATCGCTCTGTTGTGCACTTTATAGTCCCCATGAAATCAAAATAGAAGTTTTTTTTTGGCTTTTAGAGAGTATATATATATATATATATATATATATATATATATATATATATGAAGAGTTCAGATGCAAAAGCCTCTAAATGCCATTTGAAATTTTCTTCTTTAATGATGATTTTTGTCAAACTTGTATATTTAAGTTCAGTAATTTCACTTAAATAACAATTAATAGGTAATTATCATTGCCATTTAAGTGAAATCACTGAACTTAAATATACAAGCTTGACAAAAATAATCATTAAAGAAGAAAATTTCAAATGGCATTTAGAGGCTTTTGCATCTGAACTCTTCATATATAAATAACAAACAGTTCTCTTTGTGAATATTTAAGTTACGCTAATGCACTCCTTGTGTCAATGTTGAGAATGAAACCTTTGAAAAGTGTGCTTTCACATTTGATTTTGAGTGCATTTGCATTGCAAGTCACTTTCAAATATCTGTCAATAAAACAGATGTAGGCCTATTATCATTCAGATATCTAGATATAAAGATGTCGATTGTTTTTAATTAACTGGCCACAAATAAACAGTTTCCACTAATGGCCGCTATAGCAAAAACAACACATGCTTGCAATGCATTGCATTTTGTCTCATAGCATTTGCGTTCAATGTTTCAGCAGCTCATGTATGTAACAAACATATTTTTGTCGATGCTACTAACAATCTGAATGAATAACGAGGTCTCATCTCCCAATGCAGTTTATGGTTTTATAGTTGTTTGTGCGATGCAGGGCACTAAAAGGCCAGTTTGACAGCAGGTCGCCACACATTATTTGTGGGCGGAATGGCACAGCAAGACGATAATATGTTGCCGTGCCAAGATAAGTGCTGTTTACTGCAAGCTTCATCACTTATGGTGTCTCCACCTTCTGTCCAAGTGTTAAAATCTAAAAATCGATGCAGTGGCCCCTCCTGAGCGACTAAACTGACCCAGCGGCGAGTTTGGCGATACCGATCAGAGAGTTGATTCTGACCTGAGATCAGGACAGTCAGAGTCTGGATCCACATATAGATCCACCGCCTTCCTCTGATGTAGAAACATGGCCTGTCCTTCAGTCTGGCCTGCTTTTCAACGTGCTCTCATTTTCTAGTCACCTAAAATAGGCCATCGGATCCTATTTTAGCTGAACCACAGTCTATCATGCTCTGAGTGTTTCACTAGGCTAAATCACCACAGCGATTGCTTGAGATTTGGAAGGTTTTATGCTGTCTGTGTTTAATAAAACAAATAAACGGGCAGATTTGAATTTTACATTTTTTAAAAAAGGTTTTAATACGACTGCTCTGTTTTCTGTTGTATTTGAAGTTGCGTAGGTTCATGTGAGGCGTCTAGTTTTGTGGTTAGGGGGCAAAAATGAATCAGATTAAAACAGTACAGCTAAATATTCAAATGAATAGGCCTACTTTTTACACATATTCTGGTTTTAGTACTGTGAAATATGCTATTTCATGCCTGTATTGGGTTTGGTTTTAATTTAAGTGGGAGTATTACTCCCTCTAGTGGTTAAATGTGAGCACTTTCCCTAAGATGGATAGATAGGTTGACCGTCTCATGGTGAATGTCCTGCAGTTCCATCATCAGCCACTAGAGGTTCGCAAACTCTTGCCTATAGTAACAGTGAACCTGATTTCACAGAGTGCATGTTTCTGATCAACATCTTTGTTGATCCTGCAATCATCCAATCAGATTTGAGGTACAAGTTTACAGTTTGTCAAGTTTAAGGTTAGGTGCTTCTGCATCAGTGTTATTCACCAACATTTCCCTCTGGGATAGCATAATTATGGGAAGCGTTGGGATTGGGTTAGAACTACATTTTCAACAATTTCAAACAATTTCACTGATTTCCCTGGTCTTCACGTGTGCATTTTCAAGATGTTTTAAGGCCAAAAAATTATATAACAATAGCTTTAAAACCTGAACACAGGACAAGCATTAGAACAAACTAATGATAAGAAATAAAAAACTTTTTCTAAATGTTATTAAACAATAATAAAGAATCAAGACATTTTTAATCAACATCGAGAGCATCATTTGGTCAGGAAATATAAAAATGTTTAAACAAATGTTTAAAAAATAAGTGTTTAACCCTTGTGCATCAATTAAAAAAAGTTACACATAGGTAAAAAGAGGACAAAAATGTCCATGTAAAAATAAAAATGAATAAAAATGTGACGCTTTGGCGCACAGACTTAAGTTTGGTATCATTTTAAAGAAGACCCTTAGCAGATTATTGCTGAAGTAAAAAAATAATAAGTAAATCAAAAAAAAAAGTTATATAGGTATAAGTTTATGAAAATTATTTATAAAAAATATTTTTTATAAAATATATATTTTTTTAAATCAGGTTGAACTCAAAACTGCAATAAAATCAAATTCATAAATCTAAATAGGTTGTGTTCCAAATTTGAGGATGATATCTCAAAAAATGAGCTTTCGGTAACAGTTTGTTTGGGTGTAGTAACATATTTTCCCCATTGGGTGCCAGCAAAAACCCCACTGGAGCTCACAGTGATTGGATTTGTTATTTGCAGATTTTCTCTCTCAGTAATAAAGTCACATGCGCACACACACACACACACACATATTTTTTTCTAACACACATACTAACCACACTCTGACATCCATACCAACACACCCACACAAATATTGTTGCATAATTTATCCAGTTGGCTCTATAGTATGCCGAAGCAGAAAAAAGAAATAAAGCGATATTTTTTTTATTGGCCAAACTTAAAAAAAAAAAATGACACCATCTGATAAAAAATAGTAAAAAATACAATTTTGAAGCCTTGCCATCAGAATGAAAGCCTCTTAACAAAGATAGCATAATTTTATAGTTAACTGAACTGGGGATTAAAAATGGCAGCTTTAATGGGTTTCAATGGGGACATTTTTGTCCAAAAGGTGCTGAGAGGGAGTATTTTTTGTACCTAATGCAAAAAATATTTTTTTAAGAAAATAACGATGAAATTGTAAAATTCCAATAAAAATACACACCTGTGCCAAGTTTTTTGCACTTAGCTTTAACACAGGCAAAGTAATAAAAAAAACAAAAAAAAACTGAAAAGGACAAAAATGTCCATAAGGATGCACAAGGGTATTGTATGAAAAGCAAATTGAATTCAATAATCTGAATGGCTGTTTCGAAATACTTAAATGCTTTTCAGAAACAGAAAGTAGCGCAGTTGCTTTGTTTACGGGGTTACTGTGGTAAAAGCTGCATTTCTGTTACTTCCATCAGCGCCATCTGTCAGTGTCCCGACATGCACACAAGAAAAGGTAAGGTCCAAGTGCAGTTTAATGGGGTAATCCGTACTCACAATTCAGCCAGGCAATCAGGAAGCAGGCGTCCACAGTCCCGGAGTCTGTACTCGAGCTGTCGTCCCGAAGGCCGTCTCGGAGCAGCCCGCTATCGTCCGGGAGGACCCGACTTCGGTGGTCCCAAGCCCGATGGTCTGGGAGGTCTCGAGTCCAGTGGTCCAGAAAGACATTGTAAAACACACTCCAATTTGTTTACACCTTTTAAAAAAAAATGTTTATAGACTATTAATGACATTTGATAGCAGAAATAGTTGAAACTTACATTCAGTTGCTGTTAACATTTCCTAATTTCTTAGGCTCGATCATGATCAGTTTGTACATGATCAGTTTATCAGGCAAAACATGACAAAATAATCATTGGTATCTTGGATGAGCGGTACAAGTCTTCAAAATAGGTTGTTGTGTTCTGACAGCATTGACATCAATGGAAGTAATGTGGGCTTGTCTGTAACACACTTATCATATGAATAAGATTATGTGTTGATATTGCCTGTGTGTTTTGATGCAACATAAATGAATGCAAATGAATTTACTGATGATTTACCAGGAACTGTTCATCAGAAGAGGGAGGATCAGCTCAGTTGTTTAAACTCATGATCACCTCAGTTCGTTTCTCTGAGGAACCAGCGGCTGGATGAGGAGCATCAGACCACATTGCAAGTATTCACCTCTAAACAATACATTTACTTTAAGCAAAATTGATTGGAAGAAGGGTAACAAAACTTACCATGCTTTTAACTTTAGAAGACTGTTCCAAATAACTAGTAATTCCTTGGTCAAATTTGAGTCATTACTATACCATGTTCCTCACTTTAGAACTATTTGCATTAGTCACATTGGTAACACTTTAACTTTGCAACTACATGTCAACTTATTCGAACCCAAACCAGTCTATTAATACTCCACTAACACTAATGAGAGTTATTATATATGTAGTTGCAACTAGTCAACAGAATGTGTTGGGGACCATCAAAATAAAGTGAAACTGTCACATTAATTATAAACCTGTATAGTAGTTCTTAATAGTTCTCTGGGATGTATGAAAAAAGGTAGTTATTGATGAGCTAATAGTAAATTACCACATTCGACTAGTATTACTTGCCAATTAGTTATTCAGAGTTGCCTGTCTGTTTGTTAATAGTGCATTCAGACAGTCCATTTTATTTATATTATTATTATATTTATTTTTAATATTATAGCTGTTATACTTCAAATAAATTCAGCTTCACATTGAGACAACAGATCAATATCTTAGAATTTCATAACAAGTGTTGAAATGTACCGTTTAAACAGAGTTTGTATGCAGAATGCAGTGTTTTAGGTGCTTTACTGTAGGTTACTGTGTGAAATCAGGTCATATACCGTAATTGTGCACAGTGGGATGGAAACACAACTGGTTTAAGTAGTGTTTTACGACAGACTAATTGTAAAATATTTTTTGCAGCTTAGATCATTTCTATGAGGTGTCCAGAACAACATACTAAAAGTCCTAAGAAAACCTACTGTAGTTGAGGAAATTATGTTAAATTCTCATCAATCCGAGAACCAGTAAAGCCAGACAATAACACACCCCAATGGGGCTATTTTTTCCTTTACTCCTATCAAAATGAAACTTTACACATTAAAATACCCATAAAAAATATATTACAAGTTTCTTTTTATTATGCAAATAACCTTCAGACTAATCGAATATGCCCATGATACACCCTCAATGGGCATATTCGATTAGTATATCGCTCATTTGCATATTGGAATTCATTTTCAAAGAAACTCTGATACAAAATGTTTTACTTTTCATGCATAAGTTTTATTGTGGTAGGAGTAAAGGGAAAAAAATAAGCCTATTTTGGTGTATTTTGGGTGTACATCTCATTTGCATATTACAATTCATTTTCAAAGAAACTTGTAATACAAAAAAAAATTGACTTGTCATGGATACTTTCATTGTATTACGTTTTATTTTGATAGGAGTAAAGGAAAAAAAAAATAGCCCCATTGGGCTATTGTTGTCTGGCCTTACTAAGCTAACACACATCTCGGATTGATCCACCATTGTTAAAGATCTACTTTATTTTGCCTTGACTTTAATTATTCGGTTAGAAAGAACTGCAGCTACTCTAGAGAGAACTTGTCCATTCTCAATATTTATTAGGCTATATTAAGTCATAGACAGGTTTGTTTGCATAGCCAGCCTACACATAAAAGTGGTTTCTGTGAGGATGACAAATATAAATATATACAGATAGCCTAAACTTAACTTAGCCTAAGTTAAAGTTGTATGAAGTAACATCAAACCAGAGCTTATTGAAATATATGGGCTCAAATCTAAATGCGCTAACGTTATATTAAAGTATTAAACAGACCGGGCTTTCGCTTACGCTATAGGTGTCAGATTACAAAAGTGTGATTTGGTAGGTGGGGGGAACTCTCAAATTTTGAGTAGGTGCAACTGGGGAAAAAGACTCACCGTGGGACAACATATTGAGTGTCGTGGTATAGCAATACTTTTTGGGTATTTACAAACATGTGCATTAAAATAAGAGATATTTCGGGGGGTTAGGGGGAAAATTTTGATTTCTCTGACCTACATGTGTGCAATTTAAGACTTTTGAAAGGCAAAAAAGAAAATGCATAATAAATAGCTTTAAAACCATGCCAGTGGGCATTGGATTATTTTGTCAAATATCTGTTATATTGTGATCACCACTGCCATCATCATTGTCATTTATTATTAATATTATAATTATTATTATTATCATCAATAGTGCCATTGTCAATGCTGTATTAGAATTAAGTGTCATTATCAACAAAAAAAAATCTGTTATATTTTTAATATATCAAATATATATTATTTGTTTCAATATCTGCTCCTCATCTACATCTTTCTTTTTCTCTCAGTCTCCTTAACCTGCCCTATTTCTTCGCCTCCTAAAGCTGAACTTTGACTGATAGTCTTTTCATTTTCGTCTGTGTTAGTGAAGATAGTAAGCTTAAATGATAATTATATATGAATTATTATCTTAAACAAGGTAATTTACTCAAGGCTACCAGGTCAGAATTGCCAATAGGGACCTTCTACAAGCATTGCAATTTGAAAAGTAATTTTAAATAATACAAATTATAGCTTCGTTTAACGCAGTTGGTGGAATTGGCAGACGTTCCCTCATCATGCGTTGTGGAAACGCGGCAACACTACCTCCTTTTTTGAAGATGTACAATTTGTTCAATAACTATGTATAACCTAAAAAGTACCCGATTCTAATGAAACCGAGTGGGTGTCAATTTCCACGTTACATTTAATAGTGTCAACAATGTTTAAAGATAGAATGAAGTCATCGAAACAGTTTTGATGACTTCATTCTATTTTTAAAAATATGGTTTGACACTATTAAATTTAACGCAGACACTGACACCCACTTGGTGTGGCTCATTTTCTTCTTTCATTGCATCTCGTTGGATAGTTTATCATTGCTGAGGTAATGCCAAGTAGAGAACAAGAACAGTCTCTGAAATATATCAATTTTAGGAGATCTACTTTGCATGATGTGCGCTCTTTAACAATATTTTGTATGTTTTTTTTTTTCCTGCAAGAACAACTATGACAAGCAAAATTTACTACGACTCAAGCTCAAGTGACAACTGCACCGAAGTGGACGATCTCATGAAGCGCTACTACCTGCCCGCCACATACGGGGCGATCTTCATCGTGGGCGCTGTGGGAAACATCATAGCTCTGCTGGTCTACGTGCTCAAACTTCGGCCCTGGAGGAGCTGCACCATCATCATGGTGAACCTCGTCATCACGGACCTTCTCTTTATGGTCAGCTTGCCCTTCTTGATCTACTACTACGTCCTTGACGACAGCTGGACGCTGGGGGTCACCATGTGCCGCTTTGCGCGATTCATGTTCCACTTCAACCTCTATGGCAGCATCCTCTTCCTCACCTGTCTGGCCATCTTCCGGTACGTGGCGATCGTCCATCCGTTGCACATGCAGAGAATCAAGCAGAAGCGATGGGGCGTGTTGGCTTGCGTCTTGGTTTGGGTCGTGACGATAAGCGAGTTAGGTCCGATTTTTAACATGTTTGAGACAGTGACAACGGACAATAAGACATACTGCTTGGACTTTGCGAGCAACAACGTAAAAATAATCTGGCCGTATAGTTGGGCTTTGACCATCCTGGGATATTTGCTTCCTCTGCTCGTGGTCTGTCTTTGCTATTGGCGCATCATTAAAGAGCTAAAGAAGGGTCCTCATGTGGGATGCACGAAACGGGTTAAAGCAAGGCGACTCATCGTGTTGATAATAACGTGCTTTATTGTTTGCTTTCTTCCCTATCACGTGCTACGAGCTCTGAGAGTCTACACGAAACTCACTCCGGACGGCGACTGCATGCTGGACCGTGGCGCTCACGCCGCCTACATTATTTCGAGGCCGATCGCTGTGCTTAACATAATTTTCAACCTGCTGCTCTACACGTTATCGGGGGACTTTAAGCAGGCCTTCATGGATCTGTTCAAATGTGACCAGTTTATGGGGATCGGTAAAGTGTTTGTGATCAACAAACCCAACACCAATATCAAAAACGAGCAGAGCAGCTGAAACTCAAGCCACTGTTTCAGTCTTACCAGGCATGTCACTGTGAAATCACCAATTTATAAAGAGAGACTCCACCTAAAAAATATTAATGTAAATAATTAATGTTCTATCATCATTTACTAACTCTCATGTCTTTCCAAACCTGTATGACTTTCTTACTTTTGTGGAATATAAAAGTTGTTATTTAATATATGATGTAACCAAGGCCATTTCATTAAAAAACGGTCTTTGTTGCCCGCCACTATGGTCAAACAATGATGCAAATCCGTAAAGAATCCATTGCATTACTCCTGTACATTTATGGTAACTATGTTTGTGGCAGACGTATGTCTGTGTTTATTCATTGTGTGCTTGCTTTCCTTCATAAACATTGACTTTATGATGATGGCGTAAGTAATTTGGTGTTTGTCATACAAGATTAACAGCAGTAAAAGTGATTCACATTTGCATTGTTTACTTTTTAGCATGTACAGTACAGTAGCTGGGGCATCATTAGTGGAGGGAAAGCCATTGTAAGCCCACAAGACCGACAGTGCAATTGAACTGTGCCATTTGGGATTATGGGCTATGTAGGCGGCTCCCACGAGCACAGCATGCATGCAATTTGCATAATTTGATTGGTTATCTAGGAACGATGCAAAACACTAATGGGCTATATGCACGCATTTGTTCCGCATTTGACGTAAGGATGCTCGTCCATTTCCGGTTGTGTAGATTAAAGCGGAGGAAAACCGGAGAAAACGGGATTATGGCAGAGTCTTCAATATTTACTGTCCTCCCGTCTTTGAAACGAAACGTACATACGTTTAGATGTAATTTTATATATAGTTATGTTTATTTAATATAATTTTAAAAAGAAGCATAAACACAACGAGGGGTGTCTGTTTTATCTGTTTTTGTGACTAACGTTTCATTAGTATAACCATGGAGTATAAAATTCAATATAAATTCTCGGTATTGCATTGGACTCTATGATCGGCGGAAGTTATCGAGCATCCTTAATCCTTCACCGGAAATAACGCCGTGCATAGAGCCCATTGGCTGTGAGGCAGAGCCGAGCCCGACGTGACGCGGACTGAAGGGGTGGTATTTGCTATAACAACCGCCTGGCTATACATTATCCCGCTTATTACATGGCTGCCTAAATAAATCAATAATTTGACTGAAAATATTGATTTAAAAAGGAGTTTATTGATTTAAGAACGATTGTATTGCTTCCGCTAAAGAAAATAGTCCGTTCCAACTCGGAACTGCGTGGCAACGCTCTGTTTTACATAGACGGTGTGTTATACTTAGCAGTGGTGTGTTATCAAGAAATAACAGACCACATTCTATATTGGAATTCTACCAAGCCATGTAATAAACTCTATATGCCTATGTCACACTTCCTTCTTCCGGAACGCGGAGTAGGGATACAGAACTTCCGGTCAAAAGTATTTCTTGATAAGGATTTAGATTATCATCAGCCCTAGTGTCTAAACCATCTGAGGTATACTGGCTATGAGGTTGTGAAACGAAGTTTTTTGCTCCTGTTGAAGCTATAAGTTTGTATGAAATCAACCTTGTTTAAAGAAAAACGTTTTTTCCGCGATCTTATGAAAAAAAATACACTACCCACAATCCTAAGCGTAGTAGCAACGTCTGCTGATTGGTCCAACTCGCTGTTACCATAGAAACGTTTACCTTACTGGCGAACGGTTAGAGCTACCCGCGGCTGTTGTTGTAGGCCTAGTGTGCCGGGTTGCTCTCTGCATCAGGACGTAGACAGCCATACCTCAGCTTTCACACTTTCCCACTTGAGAGTTTTCATTTACCATCCGAACCACATCGGCATATGTGACTTCAAGCGCGTTGCGGAGATATTTGGTCCAGCGGTATCTATCGGACTCCACCATTGTAAAAAGCTAACCGGAAGAGTCGTATCCCTACTAAAAGACGTACTTCCGGTATTCATTTTTTTCAGGACTTCATTTTTTTTCCATTAATGATATACAGTATAACCATTTTTCTATTATAGAATATATATATATATATATATATATATGAACTCAATTATTATTATTATTATTTTTAAAAAGTATATAGATAGATCATGGGATGATGCGGGCCCCCTACACACTGTCTTTGCATAGGGCCCGAGTAATACTACAGTCAAAGCAGCGGTCACTGTGTTTGAATAATATCTGCATGACACAATTGACTCTGGAGAGTGAAACTCAAACTTCTCAACAAACAATTTAATGCTTTTTGACATTTAATCTCAGTTGCTCAATTGAAAGTATTTTCTCTTGTATAACAGCATTCTGCGGATTTTCAGCTGATGTTTATGTTTTGAGGTCTTACAGTAAAGGAAGTGGACATGTGAAGCCTCCATAAAACCCCGTTTAGATGCAAAATAGGGCTTGTTTTTTTTTTTGTAATTTATGCAAATTTAAGTCACCACTTTAGTGGAAGGGATTAACTAATGAAAAAAAATTAGATGAAGCTCCTTTTCTCAAGAATCGCCTCAGATTTCATCAGTTGTTCACACACGAGGAAACACCTCTCATTGACTGGATGAAAAGGAAGAAGAAGCTTCAGCATATTTGTTGTAAATAAACACTTGTTTAGTCTCCAAGGTGATTCGATCTAAGAGCAAAATGAAACGGGGTTTTCCAAGTTTCCTGGTTAACTGTATGAGAAGTCCACATCAGTGAACTGAAATCACATGCTGTTTCTCTAGATCTGCAGTGCAAATTGCAGTTTTGTGGATCATGACTGTATGGTGACATACCTCTGTTCATAATCGGCTTCTCAGTCTAGAGAAGTTTTATATAGCCTAGTAAGTGACAGCTAAATATACAATTATGCAACATCACAAAAAGCACCATTTCTGTGATGACATCACAAAAACAACTGTTTCTCAATCCACATTTGAATGAAGTGAGGATAGCGACGTCTTTCTTTCTTGAACTAAGCATGAGAACATTTCTATTTCACAACCCAGAATACACTCCCCCGGTTCCACAATCTAAACCCTGTCTGTGAAACCAGGCCATACATTTCATGTGAGCATAAACTTGGTCTAAAGTATAAATAAAAGTGGCACAATTTTTTATAGTTGCCTTGCCAGGTAAGAATAACTGTGGGTAAGAATTTGATGGGAATTTTTTTTAATGCATGAATCAAGAGGAAAAAGTCTCCATTTTTATGTCATTTCTTGGAGATAAGAAAAGAAAAAACCTGAGACAAAGAAATCTCACTCACGATCAGTCATAATGAATATATTGGGACATGATCAATATACTGTATGGTGATCAGCATGAGAGCATTGAGTGTTATACACACACTATACTGTCCTGTAAAAAAAAAAAAAAAAAAAAAAAACACAAATCTGTGCAGATTTACTGCTAAAAGGAAACAACATCGCTAAAGTGTTTTCATAGCTCACACACAGTGTGATGCCATTTCATTTTTGCATTTTCGCTGGTATGTATTGTTTTATTTCCTGCACACACACGCATGTTAAGTCACTATACACACCTGAAGTCTCTGCATGCCGGCACGCAAGGGAGTTCACACATAGGTCATGGTTATTCATAAAACTGTTAATTAAAATAATTAGTATTGATATTCTAAAAATAAACAAAAGATATTTATCTACTCAGCCGTTAGGAATGATAATTGCCACAAAAAAAAAGAACACAAAAAAGAAATCATAATAAACAATGACGGTAAACAATGTTACAAATACAGATTATATTTCAAGTAAAGGCTGTTTTTAAACTTTCTATTCATCAAACAATTTTGAAAAACACTAATGATGCTGAATCAAAACAGAAAAGTTATTTTAAATTGTAAAAACATTTCACAATATTACCGTGTTTACTGTATTTTTGACCACATAAATGCAAACCTCAAACTTTTAACAGTGATATAATGCAGTCTTGCTGAGCAGAAGAGACTTCTTTCAGAAGCATTAAAAACAAAATATAAACTTTTGACTGGCACTGTATAAACTGTAGACTATTTTATTATGCCTGCATAGGGTTTCAGTTTATATTTAAGTGTTTCACTCCCTCCAGTGGTTAAATTGGAGAACTTTCCCTAAGATTGATTTAATTATTGACTTTTTGATCGTATAACTTTTTACAGTGATGAACTTGCTTTATTTTAACCTAAAAGGAAAAACCGATCCACACTTTGAAATCCACACCCATTTGCAATATATTGTCTACTAACTTCCGTTTTGGATGCACTAATTTTGATCTTGAATACTGTTTGGGATGGATATCAATATGGACAGCACTATTTATTCTCCTGACACAGTGCTCGTAAAACTGTATGAGCTCGAATGATAATTGCTCCTCGACCTGTCCGTCCAATACATGATCGGTTTATCATACCTACTAAACAGTGACACATGGCAAAATAACCATTGGTATCTTAAATGACTGGTGCAAATCTTCAAAGGTTATTGTGTTCTGACAGCATTGACATCAATGGAAGTAATGTGGGCTTGTCTGTAACTCACTTCCCCATAGCCAAAATATGAAGATCAGACCTGTACGGCTCTAAATCCCGCCCATAGGATCATGTGCTGACAGATCATAATACCTGTGTGTTTTGATGTGACATAAATGAATGGGACAGACATTTATCACCAGGAACTGTTCATCAGAAGAGGGAGGATCAGCTCAGGTGTTTAAACTCACCTCAGTTCGTTTCTCTGAGGAACCAGCGGCTGGATGAGGAGCATCAGACCACATTGTAAGTAGCCTATCACCTCTTCTAAAAACTGATTGTTGTTGGCTCTAGTATTTTGGCGTTTCATTTTTTTAATTGTCCAGTAAACATATCCTTTAAACAATACATTTATTTAAAGGTTTGTTAACCCCAAAATTAAAATTTTGGCATAATTAGGGAGCGCGGGGCACAACCTAACGCGGGGTTAAATGTAACACGGACTTTTTACATAGTTCGTCATCGGGATCAGGATTTTGATTATATTTCGTGAAGATACTGGACAAAGAGTGTTTTGACACCATGAAAGTAAATTTTTTCATCATAGATTTTTTTTGGGGGGGTTTCTGGGTTGATGTAGGCTATACGCTTCCAAATCTAACTTTATAACACTGTCTTGTTGGCCCAAACTCACCGTTTTGAAACATGTCAGCAATTCCTAGCGACTGGTTAAAATATGTAGGCTAATACACAGCGGGGTTGGTTCTAACACAGTGTTACAACTAAGCCTCCAAGTGTACAATGATAATCAAATGAAAACGGAGCCACACAACTTTTCAGGTTTGAGTATAAATTTAACTTTGTTGGACTTTCACAAACAATGTTGGAATTTAAAATGCTTAAAATTTAGTGTACTATGAATGATTGTTTATTTATTAAAAATATGGCCTGTTTTTAA